AAAATAGTATATATGTATATGATTAAGATTGTCAGTCTTTTTATGGTATACTGAAATGAGGAAGCATGTTATAACTGCCAAGTATGATTATTGTGTCGTTACACAATATTCTGTCATGTTATCTTTACAGAGTCCACAGAGACATATTCACAGCATGTCGAGAATGTTGGCAGCACGACCACCACCAGTACAATACCAATCTGTAGATCCTCAGAAGAAGAAAAAAAAATTACAGTAATTAAAGCTCCACATTATGCAGGGATTGGCCCGGTAGATGAATCTGGAATCCCTACAGCAATTAGAACGGTAGGAAATTCTGGGAAATCTGTGTATGAACTCATACAATGAACTGATTGTTGGTAATGGGTTTTTCACATTCTTCTGCTCTTATATAATTTGGAATACAGTGTGCGTAATCAGCGAGCTCATGAATATAATATTGTGTGTTGACAGAAAAAGAGAATGCTGATGGGAGCATAATTGGGCAACCTCATGTTTCTAGTTTTAATTAGAAGTAGCCAAAATTTTGTGCCTTTCTCGCTTCTCTTGTAGTTCTTGCCTTTTGGAAATATACAATTATTGCATTTGTTTTGTTATTTCTAAAATAAGGTTTATACATTCTATATGTGTGTGTGCATGCAAGCATTCATATATACATTTGTGTGTGTATATAAAAATCTTATGCCTCTGCATTTCTTGGGGGCAGTGGGTTTCATATCATGAGGGTAGGGTAGAAATGAATAGTTTTGTTCTGATAATAATCTAAGTGAGTAGCATTTTTGTAGAAGTGCAATAAATAATCATTGTGGCCTTGAGTGACACGTAAACAAATAGCATGGAAACCCTTTCATTGTGACTAGTCCAATTTTGATCATCTACTGCTAGTCACTGCTTGAGTGGTCCCAGGATGTCAAACTGAAGAGTTTTGTTTTCACTATGCTGCAGCATTCTTTCCGCTCTGCTGTCAGGGCAGCCTCTTCTGGCTGCTCCAGAGAGCACAGTGGCAGCTGCACTAGTTCTGTAAAGGAAGCACTTACTGGCCTTCCCAGCCAGAGAAGAACTGCTGTGCTAGACGGAGAAAGAGTAAGAAGAGTGGGAGCCAGGATGAAAGCGGCAGAGCCTTTACAGGTGAAGTCATTGTGAGGTGCAAGGATGTAGCAGCTGTTGGATATATCCTCTCTGCCAGTACTGGCATATGGGTCTGTGTTGTATTGCCAAGAACTGCTTCAGTGGATTGAAAAATTAGGGGGAGAATCAGGAATTGATGGAGAAAAGCAATAGGAAAAAAATCAGAGTAAGTGGTAAGATGGGGACTATTTTTATAAGAATGGGTGGGAAAATTGGCATTTCTTGCTTAATTTTTGACATTAAAAAGTAATGCAATCACAATCTTTTAAAAACTAAGAAATTTCTTTGCAGGGGTGCTCTAGCTTTCTGCCCCCTTTTTAAGTAAATAGTGGGATGCTTTATATTGGATACAGTAGTTGGTCTTGTACTTTTTTAGTAGCAGATTGATCTAATAGGATGCATATCAGTTATATAAGATTGTAACAGAAACCCCCCTTAAGTGTGCCTAAAAGAGCTGGCAATCTGCCAACCTATATTTAACTTCAGGTTGTATGATCTGACTCTCAGATTTTCTCCCAAAAACATAATGCAGTTTGAATTAGGACATTTTTCAGCTGACTTTCCTCTGGTTTTTGTTGTGTTTCAATTTCAAAAGATCTTACAGCCCATTATTTTAGGATTATAGAAATAATTCTCGCAATGTTAAAAGATTATGCTGGCTAGTGTGTGTGTGTCTCATGTGCCACTTTGTGTTCTTATTCTGCTTCCTTAAGACTTAGCTGGTAGTAAAATTGTTTTCAAGATACTGATTTGAGATTACATTTTAAATGTGCGCAAGTATATTTGAGCCCTGTGTACCCTAGTCGTGCAAGAACAAAATTGATATAGTTGTCAGCAAGACTCAAATATGCTGCACCTTGACACTTCTCAGAAGTGCAGTACTATGCAGAAACATGCAAAAGTGCTAAAATTGCATTTTCCATGAATAGTAGAGGTAGAATATATCACCCGCTCCTTCTCCAAGGTCAGTGAGCAATCCAAATACAAATCTTCTCCCAGAAAGTTTGGCCTCGTTCCTTCTGGAGAGAGAAAGAAGTTTTCGAATTAGTTGAAATTATCATTGCATCCAAAGTTAAAAAGTTCCTTATTTTTCCGTCTTTGCAAAAATGACAACAGTCTATCAAAAAGCAACAAATGCAGATTCATGGATGATAGGTAACATACACACAGTGTTCTAAAATGCTGTGCTGCTCGAAGTTAAACTTGTAAATGAATTTGGGAGTGTCTGTATTCCAGATTTTCAGGAGTAGAGAGGTTTATCTCCTTCAAGTCTGTCTTTACTCTCAGAGCATGGTTTGTGGCAGCTGTTTAGCCAAGGAAAGCAGAATGATGTCTTACTCTTTTTATTCCTGCAAACCCACTCTGTCCAAAGCTGCTGAGAGGGGAAGGACTCCTGTAAAGCTTTCCGTTCTCTCAGAACCTCCATCCCATGTTAGCATGTTCCTTCTATATGAATTTAGCTCCTGCCAGCTCTGGGAAATGCAAGTCTGAAAATTCAGATCACTGCTAAGTTCTGCCACTGTGCCAAGCCCTGCCCCAAAGATGGTAAAATTCCAAGACATTGAAAATGAAGTCTTTGGAAAAAAGAGGGTAAAACGCTGTTCACTCACAACAAATGTCACCACCAGAGTTTACCACTGACTTTCCTAGGAAAGGAAAAATTAGATTCATGGAAAAACAGTATGACTGCACTATTTTAGTCTATCCAAAACGATTGCTTTACGTCTGTCAAAATTATTCTGTAGACTGAAAATGTCTCTATTTATTAAGAATGAAAAAAAGATTAAGTCCCACCAGATTTCTTTTCCATACTTCACAGTGTAATATTTCAGCTTGAAAAGAAGAAAAAACAACAACAAAACCCAAAAAACGAAGTTCCACTGGAAGTCATAAATGCCTCCTTTAATTGCATACTTCCTGATGGATGACTACAATTCTGCAATGATTGCAGACTCTCCTAAGAGCCAACTGCAGTTACTTCTTAAGTCTTCTTCATGCTATTTGGCTGATTGTTTTTCATGTATGATACCATATTTCAACATTTAATTGCATCAGCTATAATGTATGCAAAGCAGGATGACATCTGAATGGCTTGGTGCATTGTGAATACTGTAATTCCTCAAACAACATTGATGTGTGGGATTAGTGAATATAAATTGAGAAAATGTATTTCAAAATTAACATATTCTGTTTATTAACTAATCCTATCTGGTTTATAGTTTAAAGCCAAATAATTGGCTGAAGTTTGAAACCCTAAGGAGGGGATTATGGAGGGGAGATGATGAGAGAAAAAAGCATTCAAATGTCCAGAAAGATCTTGGGAGACCTTTTTCTCTCATCACATAGAAGCTTCTCCATACCTGACCTCTATGTGGAAGCCTCCTGTGAATTTGTGGAGGACCTGACAAGGATCCAGCAAAGAGATATCAATGCACCTTTGTTCCATGACAAACACTAGGGACATAGCAGTAGTATTTGTGCACTATTTGCTATCTGTTTCACCTAGTGGTGATTGGAAGACTCTTCTTGGCTCAATACAGTCAGAAAGGCAGTTGCTAAATCATGGGAGTGTTGCAGGTTTCTGATACTATGGAAAATGAGGAGTAGCATAGAGATTATTCCCATCAGTGTGAATTCCTTCAGACCTCCTGGAATTCCTTGCAAACCTTTGAGCATATATGATCCCAAAGCACCAAATGGCAAACTTGTTTCAAATCAGGCTAAATTATTCTTACTAGTATAGGTGTTTAATACCTTTAGGGAAACAGTGTTAAAGTGGTCCAAATGTGCTTCTGAATATCTTATTCTTGGCAGAATTCAGTAATATTGGTTGGTGGGGGAAAGTACCTGTGCTGAGACAAAATTGTATCTCCTTCATCTCTATCTTGCAAGCACGTCTAGGTAAAAAGCATAACCCTCCACTTAATTTTTTTTCTGACACAGCAGATCCCCAAGTTCTTCAGCTGTCAGCTCTTCTTTAAAATATTTTTTAATGTCACATAGTAACAATTTTATGAGTACTCAAAATAGAGGAGCATTTTCACCTAGTCCCTTATAGTAAGAGCTCACCATTGTTAAAACAAACTCATTATGTACAGTAATTGTAACAAATATTTAGGGCAAAAGTCTGATTTAGTAGAGATGGTATGGAGCCAGGTGATCATCCTCAGGTCTGTCTGGTACTCTGTAGAGAAGATTTTCACTTTTTTATGGTAAAGAGGAGTAGGCAAAGCAATTGCAGATTTAGTATGAACTATAGCAAGATAGTGCACTTCAGGAGGAGTCTTTTGAATTATCCCTGTGCATCATGAAGTTTGAAGATAATTTTGTACCCCTTTTTTTGTTGTTGTCCAGAGAAGTTGTGAATGCCCTATCCCTGGTGGTGTTCAAGGTCGGGTTGGATGGAACTCTGGGCAACCTGGTCTAATGAAAGGTGCAGGTGGGCTGGAACTAGATGATCTTTAAGATCCCTTCCAACCCAAACCATTCTATGATTCTCTGCATTAAAACTTTTGCTTCTCTATCTGCTTTGGGACAAGTAAAATTTTAGGACCTAAGAAGAGTAACGCTGAAAACTTGTTTGCCTCTGTGTTAATCCTTTTCTGAAATATTACCATCTTATCTCAAAGAACATGGCAGCAAAAGAGAAAATGCAGAAGGGTAAGAGAGAAAAAGAAGCACAAGTAGGTGTTGTTACGAGCAGTTTGGGAGCTTTGGGATTACTTAGTTTGCAAAAGTAAAGATAAGCATAATTTAATGAGTGATTATTTGTCTTCACTTTTCTCAAAACAGAAAAATAAGTTAAAATTAAGTTTTCTGGAAAGGACATTTAAAACTGATAATAAGAATACTCTTTGTTTACAAACCAAAAATTAACCCTTAAATATAATGTGGTCTTAATTCTTTTCTCAGTAATATTCTGAAGTTTTTCTGCACTATGTAGCATTTTGTGTTCATCAGTTGAAAAATGCAGAGGCTAGTGTAGTCATGGAGGATGAGGATAAGGCAGAGGTACTCAATGCCTTATTTGTGTCTGTCTTTAATGTCAAAACCAGTTGTCCTCGTGATATCCTGCTCCTAGAGTGGCAAATTGGTGATGGGGAGATGAGTAAAACCCCTGTAATCCAGGAGGAGATGGTTAATGACTTGCCAATTGGACACTCACAAATCCATGGGCCCTGATGAAATCCACTCCAAGTTAATGAGGAAACTGTCAAAACAGCTCGCTAAACCACTTAAAATCATCTACCAGTAGTCCTGGATACCTGGAGAAGTTCCAGCTGACTGGAAATTAGCAAATGTGACATCCATCTATAAGAAGGGTCAAAAGGAGGACCTAGGAAACTCCAGACCTCTAAGCCTACCCTCGGTCATAGAGGAGATCATTCTGAGTGCCATCACACGGCACATGCAGGGAAACCAGGGCATCAAGTCCAACCAACATGGATCTATGAAAGGAAGGTCCTGCTTGACCAACCTGTTTTCCTTCTTAGTGGATGAAGGGAAGGCTGTGGATGTGGTCTATCTGGACTTCAGCAAGGCATTTGACACTGTCTCCCACAGCATACTTCTAGAAAAACTGGCTGCTTGTGACTTGGATGGGTGGACTCTTCACTGGATAAAAAACTGGCTGGATGGTCGGGCTCAGAGAGTTGTGGTTAATGGAGCTAAGTGCAATTTGTGGCTGATCACTAGTGGTATTCCCCAGGGCTCAG